CCCCCTCCCCCCCTCTAAAATCAATTCTCTCCTGGAGATCGTCTTCGTGAGCCTCTCATGATTTCAGGATAGTTGAAACCCTCTTGAACATTCAGAAAGAGTGAATATGAAATTCTAATCACGAAAGGTGTTCTGTGAAGCGCGTCAATTCTCTCCTGGGGAGCGTCTTCGTGAGCCTCTTATGGTTTCAGGATAGTTCAAATCCTATGATGTTCCGATTCAATGCTCACCGATGATCTGAGCCATGGGGCAAGTTTGTTTTCCTAAGAATCTTTTTGAACATTTCGAGAGCACATGTTTGAACATTTAAAGTGCATATGAACATATATGTACGAAAGGTCGCCTCCGAGGGGATAAATCACCATGTCGAACATTGCATTTTTGTTCCTGCCTCTCGTGTTCTCTTCTCTTCCCGCTGTCCTACCTTTCGTGTCTCCCTCCTCTCAAGTTGTTCTTTTGCCAGTTGCCCGCAATCCAGGAAAAATTCCGTGGGCAATATACAGTAGTGTGGGTGGGATGCCCACTTCCTGACGAGCACTGCAGCACATGAAAATTTCTTTGTGAATCTGCTGTAGTGTGGCCCGCTGCCAAATGCGCTGAGGACTCGCGCAGTGTGAGAAGGTGGGTCCCCGGATGGCTTCGATCGACGTGCTAGACAGGTCGGAGTCTAAGGCACTCAAGGCCCGATGAGCTGAAGCACCCTATTGGTTCCCCTCGAGATGGGGGTGGCAGGGGTGGGAGGTTTGCTTGAAAAACTTGTTCGGGACCAAATATTGGCAGATCAATTTTATTGACCCCTCCCTCGCTCCTCCCGTAAGGATGCCGTATTGAGCCATCCACGATATTTTGGTGGCCCCGCCAGCGCAACTTACACCACTTACTCATTTCCATAACCTGACGTGCCTCCATGAAACAGTGCGGATGCCACATGTTGTAGTAACGCCCTGCTCGCGACCCCGGGCGCTTAAAGAGCAAAAAGAAGCAGATAAAGGTTCTTGTTTTTGAATATGTCTGCCCGCGCCTTAGATTTTGAAAAAACCGCGGAACCACCCGCCAGCATGCAGGCACCTTCCGGGGGGCGGCCGCCGCCAGAAGGAACAAAGAAAGAACCCTACCGAGAATGGTTCGACCCTCGACGGTGCAGACTCGTCGTCTTGGCAACGGAAGCCGGAGGCCGGTGGAGCCAGGAAGAGGCCAACTTCATCCGGCCCCCCGCCAGCTCCAGGGCCTGGCGTGCCCCAGCCATCTTATAAAAATCGGTCGAAGCAGGGCAGACATCACGGCGACCCTACTTGATGAAGACCTTTCTCACAAACATTGTCGATGGCAACGTCCCCCCTCAACTGTGAGTGCGACTCCGGACAAAACCCCAGACCGACTTGCTTGGAGCAGCAGAAAAAGGCATGTGGAAAAAAACCACCCACAACGTGCACTTGAATTACGTATTTGGCCGACTGTCCAGAGGCACCTTCCGCCGCAAAGCGGGCAACCGTTTCGATTGATTCCCGCTTCGATTGGTTCCGGGAGGTTGCGGGGCAAGGCCCAGCCCAAAACCACAAGCAACCAAAGATGAGCTGGAACTGTGCCGACAAGTCGCCGAAAATGATTTTTTGGGAGCAATCTAGTGTCGCAAGGGTGCCCTAGTCGCATCCGTTTTCCGTTGACAAGTTCAAGATACAATTTAGGGAGAATTTTGCTAACGAAGAACAGGCCATACTGTTGCTGGACAGGTTACTTGCTGTCCTCGTGCTCCCTCGCTGATATTAAGAACGTAACAGTGAAAAAAAATCAATCAAATTTAAAGGCAAAGATCCTGCACCATCTCCTCAAAGGCGTCGCGCCAACGTGGAATGCGACGCTGCCAGGGTAAAGTTGTGAGGTGGTGCAGGATTCGTCCATCAACAGTTTCTCGTCAAAACGTGATGGTTTGTGTCAAGGCAGCAAAACTCGGCACTGGGACAACATCCGATAAAGTCGCGTGGCTGTGGAAACCGCAATTTTTGGGCAAATGTGTTTTCTGAATTGAGTTTTACAGGGGCTGTCATGCATTCTTGGCCACATCCGAGTACACAATTTGCTTGGCTCAGGGCAACATGTTTCTCCAAACCTTTAAGCTAAACAACAGGTGAGACACACACACACACGAGTTACGAGCACCCTCAAAAAACACCATTACTGTCCCATGACAGAAGATTTTGCCACTACGACACGTTGCAACCAAAGTGATGGTAGACACAGGACAGGGTTTGCCCATGGCTTGCCTGCAGATGCCTGTGTGTCAGAATTTGGACAAATGACTGATGATGGTCCGCAGGTCGCTTGATGCCACGTGTTCCCTCCGCAGTGCAGTCTCTCAAAATGAATGCTACTGAGCGCCAGCGCTGACAATCGTACTAGTACGTCTTGTGCGGACCCACCGCTACCGGCACCATGAAAAACAATCAGGAAAACATTAACTCGCGCGTTTTGCATTTCGACGCACCTAATAACAGAAAAACATGCACCCCAATCTGCTTCGAATAAAGAGAAAGAATATATGTGCTAGGTTTGGATCTTGCAAAGTTTGGGGAGGACCCTCAAGTGCACGGGTCAGACATGGGTTTTGCAGCGCTCAAACCTCCCATATACGTTTTTTTTTGCAGGCCGGTTCAAAACAAGATGCTTTCGGATAAGCACCCCCAGTGTTCGTTGTGTAGTTGACTTGAGGCCTGTTTCTTGTTAGGCGCATGATCATGCCTAGGGCCTAAGGTATGGCATGGTGTACCATCAGGTGTGTCATGGTTTCCATTTGCTTTGAATCGGGCAACAAGTGGATGCGGTGTGTCCTGGTTTTGTCTCTTGATGTTTGAGTTTTAGCTTTTGCGTAAGTATGGTGTCAGCTACTGACTGCATACTTCTTGCGGCACCTTCACTTTGTGTTTTGACTCTCACGTGCTCTATTCTGCCCCAAAAAATATTTCTAACTTTGACCACTTTGATGCAAAAACGAGTCCCGCAAATTTCCGCATGCGCAACTTTTCGCATAATCCCTTTCCCTGTTCCAAACGTGCGGGGGGGGGGGAAGTCTTCCAACGCTTTCCCCAGCAAGACTTTTTACGTGCAAAAACACAATCGTTTTTCTGATGGATGTTTGTCCAGTTTTATGGGAATGGCGTTTCGGAAAGGCTCATTTAGTGACGAACTCCCATAATCACGAATTTCAACAGCGCTCGGCTGACCACCCGGAAACGTGATGCGCGGAAAAGCGGCCTGGCCAAGGCAGTGGTTGAAAAGATCAAGAGTCAGAGCTTTGACTGGATGGTGGATTTTTTTGAATCTTATTTCGTATCTTTTTTGTGTTTTGTGGTTCGCACACCCCCCTGAGAGCCGTGAGAGTTGGAAGGCGCATATACCTTGTGGGAGGGATTTTTGCAGGTCTGGGGCCAGCATTTTTCATGAGTTGGCCGGAATGATGAGGTCAGACTTGGTAAATGTGGATGGGCTGGTGGAGAATAGAGTCGATGACCATCCTGACCATGGAGAAGCCATCGCTGGTGAACCACAGTTGCTAGCTTGCACTAATGGTTCGCATCGTGTGCACAGATAGATCAACCTTGGTTCCAGCCTTAAGTTTAAGGTCATAGTCAAAACGCGCATCTTGTTTTGCAAACCGTCCTCTTGAGGCCAGGCCAGCCCAAAGTGTCTTCTTCCAGGCCTTCCGAGCCCGCTCTGGTGACGCAGGAGAAACTCCCCCCACAAGCCTTCAGTAAGGCAGCGGGCAGGCCAGGACACAGCCGGACTGACTTTGGACACAGCCAGGACCAGCAGTTCCCCAGCATTGATTCGATTCTGATTCGATGCTCCTGACAGGCCACCGCCGCCTCCGGGTCCACCACCGCTGGCTCCGCCGCTGGCTCCACCGCGCGTGGCCACCGTGCCGCCGCGTCGCACGCTGATCGGTGCACCAAGCGGTGGCGTTCGCCAGCCGATGCCGGCGCCGAGCTCGCATTGGGTTTATGGACCTGCAGTTGACGAGCGTCCCCGGGTTGCATTTCATAGAGTTTGACGCAAAGGGTGTCCAAATTGCTAAAGTAGAGCAGGCACATGACGAGTGAGCGTTGGACGCATAGTTGAGGTCGGAGCGGCGGAGCGCAGGGCCCCTATGGCAGGGAGTGGGATCCGTACCAATGGCGCACTGGGCAGCCTGAGTTCGATCCGCAGTGGAATGACTGGGATGCCCGTCAGGAGTCAAGACCATGGTCTTACTCCACCCCCCTTGGCCGCGTGGGCACCTCAGGACAAATGGGTGGAATGTGAGGGAAGCACCACTTTCATGGTTTTAACAAAAACTTTATTCTACCCACTATTTTCTAGAATGGGTGGTTCTGTAGTCGGGTGGGGGGTGGTTTGCATGTCATGCAGCTACACCAGCGCGACTGGTGTTTGTTTGGGCCCTGCAGGAAGATCCCAAGGAGTTGAGGTTGAAAGTGGTGGCCTCCAAGTTGGAGACAGATGTCCAGGAGGGCCTTCTAGAGCTGCAGCGCGCCCGTGACGATGGATGTCCGGCCCCTCCTGCCACTCAGAGATAGATGGCGCTTGGTATGGTGTGGCCGTTTGTTTCAATATTTGAAAGTTCTTGTCGAGGGTGGAAGTGCCATGGAGTGCGCCCAATGAATTTTTCTCCGACTGGCTGAGGCCCTAGTGGCCAAGGCGCTGGAGCTGGCCGCAGCTGCGGGTCATGTTTGCCTGGTTGAAGCTGTGGAAGGGCTCTTTCTGGACGAAGCCCGGACGTTCGAGCTGGACATCCCAAACTTCGCTGCCATGATCGAAAAGCTGGTCTTGGACCCCTTCTCCTACAAGCCAGCCACTGTTCGGCTGCTGCTCAACTTGGCCTTGTCGCAGGAGAGGGGCCTGTGAACTCCACATCTTGGCCAGATGGGCCCCCAAAAGTTCTTGTGGCTTTGCTTTCATGCGTGCTCTGCCCTGCTTGCACATGCTTGCACCGGGTGCTTTGCATTAAAGAAGTCGTCCTGAGGTTCGTAGAGTGCGGGGCAATTCTTTTTCAGTGAATCTTATCATGTTGGCTCATGTTTGGACTCAGCATGGAAGACTTTCTGGATGGTTTGTGGTGAAGTATGCCTTTCGCTTGGATCAAAACAGAGTGTGTGTGTTTGCCCTTTGAAATCACTGGGATCCTGTCGGATTGTGCAGATTCTTTTAGTTCTTTAGCAGGGGGGCGCAGCAGATAGAAGGGACTGCGCGTAACAAAGCTACCTTGCATCTGGGAAGCAGAGCCTGATCAGCTCTGTGTACCTGCTTGAATTTCAAGATTTTGTGAAGACCTAATGCACTCTGCAGACACGAGCGGCCGTCGTCATCCTGTCGTCTCGATCTCGACTTGAGCCTTGGGCCCCATCTCCTTTTGAAGACCTCCAGGATCTGGTAGTTCCTACTTGTACTCTTAGGAAATGGTAACCTAGGCCGGCGTGTGGCACCGCTGTCAAGTCAGTACGCATAATCATAAGTGTGTGCGTGTGTGACCCTTGGGTCAGTTATGATCAAAGGGAGTCTGGTAACCTTTTAGCATGGGGCTTGTGGATGTATTGTTGCATCTATGTCGTCGCGGAGGATCTCAAGCTCTTGGTTCCTGTTTGGAATCTTGAGCAAGCTGCATGGCTACCAACAGCTTGTAGCGTAGCGAGCATAAACGGGAAGTCCTTGTGACACAAGCTTACCTGCGGGTTCGTGTTTTGCCATGCGCACACTGCTTCAACACAACAAGCCAGGCAAGCTCGAGGTTTCGCCAATGAGGAATGGTCTTTGTCTGGTCTGTTCCCTCTCATGTGGTTTCCCCTTCATTGGCAACCGCGCGCCTTCCGTCCTTCTTTTCCATGTTCTTCCAGCGCGTCCTTT